ACAGTTACAAGTTACTCTAAATTAAAAGTAACTAGTTACAGCTACAAGTTACTGAAAAAGGTAACTAGTTACCGGTAAAGCGTTACTAGTAACTAGTTACTGCCCAAGACTGGTATATACCTATAATATACATGGCGCAAAAAACGATTAGTCAACTATTCAATTGCTCTAGACTTTCTTAATTTGCTTTACTCCCTTTAAGCATTTACATCTATGCGTGTTAATTGCGGCCTGTTTTTGCGTTAGTGGCGTAGTGATCCCAACGTGACAAAGGTAAAAAAAAAAGATGTGAAAAGGAGAAGAAAAGAAAGGAAAAGAAAGAAAGAAAGAAAGAAAGAAACAAACAAAGGAACGTCAAGCTTCAGTTGCTCTTGTTTTCCCGATATGTCAAGGGCCTTCCCGATAGGGCAAGACGCAGGACACAAGCTGTGCAGCTCATCATTTGGATAAGAATCGCCACGGAAACATGCCAGGGAGAAGGAAAGACAAATCATTCCTTGTAAAAGTTTGAGCACAGTCGTATAGACATTGACGGAAAAAAGGTATCGACGGACTTAGCGAGCGTGTACTCTTACCGAAGCACCACAGAAGCACGATCGTAGCCCGGAAAAGCAGGTCGATTGACGGGATCTCTGTCTGGATAATAAGAATGTATTCTTTAGGGACGTTCTTGAAGGATTGAGGAGTACTATTTGGTCATCGTCTGATTAATACACTTACGCCCTTCGTTCCTGCAGTGTCTAAGAACGTGTATGGCAATCGTGATTCGGCTTACTGTCCACCTACGAAGAGACGAGAAGAACTCGGAGATATGTTTAGTCCCGCGGGCGGCTCTTCCACTGTGATGGTGCCTCTATTTACTTCTTTATCACTTGTGTAAACGAAGCGACACAGAGACAGCACCCTTGCTGTGGACCAGCCGTTCTATTATCCTTCGTCTTGCTCTGCCTCGCAGTCTAGCCGATATAGTACGTGCCCGCTCCCCAGTGGCGTTGTAATCCTTACACTTGTCCCCCCTCCATCTTCCCCCAGTGTACGATAGCAAGCCAGATGCGCACCTGGTTAGCCTCCCTGCCTTTCCTTGCTTTTCTGTCTCTGTGATACAGTGGCAGAGCTGGGTTTTAGGGGATTCAATGTCTGAGCTGCAGGGGCTGAAAATTTGATGGGTGTAAGTTAGGTTTAATACCTTTATTGTATCACTCAATCACACAATCAATCAATCAATCAACTAATCAATCAATTATTCAATCAATCAATCAACAACCAACCAATCAATATCTGCTGATATCGTTACAGTTGAAAAAAGGTTGACAGTGTTGACAGGATGAGAATTAGTCTGAAATTAGAGGTAAAGTTTGAGTCCTCGAGCCGCACCAGACAACTTCGTCTTCCCCTTCCAAATACCGCACCGTACGCTCCTAAAGATGGGTGACGTACTGTGTCTTTGTTTAGGCCTAATCACGTATAAGTGGCTCCTAATTCACTTGACGTAATGGGCAACTCGCCACTCTTCCCCCAGCATTATAGTCACTGTCCCCTCCTCCGCTACCATTTTAGTCACCTTCTATTTCTCCGCCAGCATTATAGTTACTTGCCCCTCCTCACTGAGCATCGTAGTCACTTTCTCTTCCTCTCCCAGCATTATATTCACTTTGCCCTACTCCCCCAGCATCAAAGTCACGTTTCCTTCCTCTCCCAGCATTATAGTCACTTACCCCTCCTCCCCCAGCATTATAGTCAATTCGTGCTCTTCTCCCAAATTTATAGTCAATTTCCCCCAATCCCCCAGCAACATAGTCACTTGTCCCTCCTCCCTTAGCACCATAGTCACTTTCCCTCCTCTCCTAGCAGTATAGCCACACACACCCCCCTCTTCCAACATTATATTCTCTTGCTCCGCCTCGCCCAGCATTATAGTCACTTTCCGCTCCTACCCAGCATTATGGTCACTTTACACTCCACCCTTATCATTACAGTCATTCCCCCCTCTCTGCATTTTAGTGACTTTCGCCTTCTCCACCAGCATTATAGTCATTTTCCACTCCTCCCCCAGCATTACCGTCACTTTATAATTTTCCTTCAGCATTATATTCAATTTTCGCTCCTCCCACAGATTTATAGTCACTTTACCCTCCTTCCCCTGCATTATTGTCACTTTGCACTCTTCCCCCAGCGTTATAGTCATTGGCCCCTCCTCGCCCAGTATTGTAGTCACTTTCCTCTCTTCACCCAGCATTAGAGTCACTTTCCACTCCTCTCCCTGCATTATAGTCACTTAGGCGCTGGCTTAGACGCGGTAGAATAGATGAGCATAATGAGTGCTTGAACTCTCAGGACCATTAAATAATTTCTTTTCCAGGACAGGCGTCTGCTTGATGCGCTAACCGCGGGGACATGAACGCATGCGAAACGGCGTAACATTAGCCCGCATCTTGTCGTAATTCACAGGAAAGAATGGAAAAAAGACGTGCACATTCCCTTAAGGCGTCTCATTATTTATCTCAAGTTTTATTATTCTCTTCAAGCAACATACTACATAAACTACGCATGTCATGTTAAATAATTTTCACCATGTCACGTGCCACTGTTGGCAACGTCAGAGCATAGTCGTCTACGTAGAAGACCAACGTCACTGCACTGCCGTGTACGTAGGGCAATTCATATGTGCACGTCATGTTCTCATTCTCTAGGTGCATGCACGCGAAAGAAAGGGGGAGCAGTGTTCATCCTGAAATTTGACTTATTTCCACGTCGCGTAGCACTGTAAACGTTTGGCTCACGTGATCGTGAACACCCCATGTACGCATTGCGCTTGTCATCCAAAATTGTCAGACCTGGTGAGGGGCCATTTGACATTGGTGAAATACCTTAAAACGCCTACCTCACCGACTGCCGCTACTGCCGTTTCTCAAGCTTGAAACACTGAAAGCATGTTTTTCTGCAAAACTAGACGATGAACAGTAAAGAAAACAGGCAATCGTCATCGCACATCTGCTTTCAGGAACAGAGAAGGTGATTTCACTCAAAATCCTGCTTTTCAGAGAGAATAAGCTGAAAATCGCTTGAGTGTTCAATCCTGTAATCATTCGAGGAAGTGTAGCAGCGGAATTACTTCTGCTGGGACTTGTAAAAAGTGAAAAAAGATCGAAAGAAAGTCTTTTACATTACACGTTGGGCCACTTGTTTTCGATTGTCATGGAAACGCTTCACATATTGTGCAAAATTCAATGGAGGTTAAAAGATTGGAAGCCAGAATAACGCGTTCTTACTGCATTACTTTTCGCAATACGACTGAAAGGCCATTTTCAGGACCTTATCTGCTTTAAATTCACGCATTCAAGGAAAATCGAATCGGTGGCCACGCAGGCTTCGTTGCTGGGTACCTTGCAGTGAGATGTGTGATACTTCTAGCAAGTTTGGCATAACAGTGCTAATCATCACCAGGCCTATAGGAATGGGGAGGGGGTAGTAGGGGTCACCTCCCCCTTTTCCCCACCGTTTATTTTTACAGCGAAAGCTATTATGTGTTTGCAACAATGTCCGTTTTCGGTGCGGTACAGTTGTCTACCTCCGCCACCACCACCTTTCTCCGTAATTACTATCACACAAAATAAGAACGAAGAGTAAAAAAAATATTACGGAAAGTACGCAATTCAAACACTGGCTCTCTGCGTGGCAGCCCAGCATTTTACCTCGGAGCCCTCTTTTTTTCAGTAATGCGTAAAGTCAACTCTAGCAAGTGTTGTGAACTATGCAGGACTATATTTGTCACATTAGAATTACATTTTTTCATTGTTTATTGATTACATGTCTACGGCAGAGCTTGGAAGTTATTTGTAAACAGAACTTCGGCAGGCTTCATGTCGGGAAGGAATCGAAAACATGTGTAATAGATCGTTTCAAAAGAGAAGAATGACAACCAGGTGCCACGCAATGCAAATCGCGAAATGAGTGGGTCGTTTAAGGCTTCCAACGCTTTACGAAAGGATCAGCCATGATTTGTCATCGTCGTCAACCACAGCATCAGCAAAGTGCACATAATGGCTTACTCGTGTGTAGCGGGTACCATGATTCTGCGAAAAACAGTCGCGGATTGGTTGCTTCGTTACATTGCTAAAATTACGATGACTTTTGTCCTAGTTGGTGCCATGCAAGTGTATTTGTAGAAAATCTTCAATTTGGCCTAGCTGGTACTACATTGTCATATAGTTGCGCAGAGCGAAAAGTACAAAGGAGTGACGAAACAAGAAGACAGATTGGGTAGGGCGCAAATTTTCAACTGTTTATTTCGGCAAAAGCGCGTCAAGGACGTCCTTTGATGTGATTTTGCGAAAATCAACAATTGCGAAATAAACACCGCCCGCTCAGAACACACTTATCTCTCGCTTCACCCTCTCCACCGCCCACAACGCTTGAACGCACGTCGAGTGGAAACACTCTTTCGGCTAGTTTGTCTGCGGTGAAGCTTACACGAAACCCAACCCGTCTCCCGTGTCTTTGCGTTTCGAACAAACGTTTACTCGAGTAAACGCTACATCCAGTGTCCATCAAGTCGGTCAACGCCGTGCGCAGCACTGTTTCTTCGCGTCCCATCAGGGTTCTCGTCGGTGAGATGGTCCGTACTTTTTTAGAGTTTTGGCACTGAGTTGAAACAATTGCGAAACTAAACAATATCATGAGTTTTGGTCTTCAGGAACTGCTTGTTTTTAGAATCACTTATAATTACTACTAGCACAATCTGTGTCCATTGCAAATAAAAAAACCAAGTAGTAGGTAGAGGAGGACAGCCACTACGCGCACACTGCCGGGTAAATATTTCATGTGAACTGAAGAAGTATCGGCACGCAGAATGGAAGCTTGTTACGTATCGTTGGGGTATAAACGAACAATTTCTTGTTGTGTTTGTTGTGCAAAGCAAGTAAATACCATGACTGCCATCACAAATTTCCCGGAAACACCATGGGCAAGTCTAAAACAGACCTTTCGTGCCAATTTCTTACCTTGCAAGTAAGGAATGAACTTGCACATGAGCTCTCCGAACACGAAGTTCCTCAGAAGACTTCCGATCAGGGTGAAGGGCATGCAGAGGACGCCCAAGAGCAGGTCACTCACGGCCAAGTTCACGAGGAAAACGTTGGTCACCGTGCGCATGCGTTTGTTCTGCACCAGAGTGACCAGCACCAGCACGTTGCCCACCACGGCGAACACAAATATGACCACGTACAGTCCGACGCGCACAATCAGATCCGTCGCATCCGGCAGCCCGTCCACTGCCCCCGTAGACTCCGACTGTGGCGTCGAGAAATTCTGGACGCTGCCTTGGGGGAACTCGGTGAAGACGGCGTCATCCGGAAGCGTGACTGTGGGTATAGCAAATGGTTCTGTGAATGGTGAAGAGGTTGTTTTGTTGAACAAGGGCCACTGCAGGTTCAGCAAGGGGAGGCTGCTGATTAGTCTATTAACCATGGTGACTGTACTAAACAAGCGCTGTGCACAGTGTGAAGCTAAGTACTTGCAGTCTCGCTTTTGTTAAATCACTTACGAAGTCACGAGCTTAAGTGCCATTCTCAAGGTGAGGTATTTCCTTGTGTCTTGATGGCATGTCCACACATATGCGTGTTCTCACACAGGATTCCCAGTGGCTGTGTTATCCTTCACTGTTTTTTTTTCGCTCGTCTAGAAACTTATCAAATGAATGCAGCTGTGCTTCAAGTTCTTACAAAGAACAGGCGGTGTCATTAACACTATAATTTGGGCGCTCCTAGGATTCCTTCGTCTTGAAGAGGTTCCATACTTTGGCTGGCTTGTTCTGGCTTGGAATAATCCTGCAAAAGAGCATCAAAAAAACAAATACAAAAAACTTAATACTAAATGTGGCTTCGGAATTTACTCAGCTTTATAGCCCCTTACGTTCTCTTAGATGTATACAAAGATGTGAACTTGTGCTCTAGTTAAAATATATAGACTACAATACCAGTGGGGATATTACATATTACGTTATTACGTTCTTTATAATCACAATGCCACATATCCGCCGGAGCGCGCGCCCTCAGAAACTCAAGTAATCATGCAGGCATTCGCACAAACATGTGCTTGCGTCCTTTCATAATTTGATGTATAGAAACACGACTTACAGCCGATGCAAGAGAAAGGAAGGCAAAGAAAAGACAGAGAGGTTAACCAGGTTGTACCTGGCTTCCTACCCTACGCGGAGTGAAGGAGAAAAACAGGGGAGGAATCGAGAAACACGGATTACAAGTGATAGGCGCACACATATCTGCGATGAGCACGCACGTCCGGATAGTCATAACTAAGAAATATTTGACACCGGTTCTTTTGCGGTTGTCCTAAAATAGAGTGAAATCCAAGATGTTAAAAAGAGCAAGACTGTTGCAGAGACCTGACTTCCAACACAGTAGTGTAAACAAGGAAGCTTTAATGAGGGCTTTTTTTATAATGAGGACGTGTTCGCACATTTTGTGGGCAGGCACTAAGCGAAGAAGCTCCATTGTTCTGCTATATAGGTTCATTTGTGCCATTCGCCGGGCTTTATTTCTGTGTTGCCATGTGTTCCATTGATAATAGTTTCCCAGGTTTTTCGAAATAGTAGAAGCGCCAACATACTTTTGCATTTATCATTGTATCTGGATTAAGAAAAACACAAATCTCACGCCAATTAGAGTGCGCTTGCTTTGCAATGTCGCTTTTCACGTTTTCCTCTTGCTCAAATGATGTTGTGTTCCCTGCAAAGAACTTCCTGCGAGTTTCAGGCCACATCTTTATTTGCGTTTTTCCACTTCCGACGGGCGATTGAATCTTGCACCGTTTCTTCAAATAGTCTAGTACATGCACCATGCTAGAATCCAATAGATGGCTGATCAAAACAAAAAGAAGAGGAAACGCGGATGCGTTTTTTATAAACTAGTCGTATTATGTGTTATCTGCGTTGCTAGACGTAGTTGAAGTTTTGTGGAGCGCTAACGAATACCAATGTTTGGTGCCGATAAATGGCAGCGAATACACCGCGTCCTTGATCAATATACAGGGAACAAAGCAGCTTCACATTTTCAATATACAGGGAACAAAGCAGCTTCACATTTTCATCTTTTAGCTGATGCTCCCAAGCGCACATCGCGACAGTGTATGCCTGGGCTTACTCCACCCAGTTTTTGTAACTGGCTATGATTTGCAAGATATAGACAATTACGTCTTACCAAAGTTGTCTAAGAGGAGTTTCTTAAGCATCTTTCAACAGAAACCAAGCGTAAATCAAAGGTAAATCAAGACATTCGTATGATAAAGAGGCACTGAATTGGGACAAATCTCGTGCAGATGCAAGAAAATTAAGATCCCCTTTTTCGGCGTCGTTGCCGTGATGAAAAGAACATCGGTGTATTCGTGGATTCAGCATGAATTGTGTATGTATGTATGTATGTATGTATGTATGTATGTATGTATGTATGTATGTATGTATGTATGTATGTATGTATGTATGTATGTATGTATGTATGTATGTATGTATGTATGTATGTATGTATGTATGTATGTATGTATGTATGTATGTATGTATGTATGTATGTATGTATGTATGTATGTATGTATGTATGTATGTATGTATGTATGTATGAGAGAAATTGAAAAAAATATTGAAAGCTTGAAATTGCTGGTGACTTACATTGGTGCACCGAACTGCCTTTCGACAAGATGTTTATATTTACCCTGTGCGTGAATTGGAGAGCAAAAGGTTGGATAGGTGGTCAAATCGGCAATGCATATTCCTTCACAGAACTGGGAGCGTGGGACCAAGAATGATGGGCGACGAAGAGCACTCATGTGCACAAGCGCTTGTGTTCTTTGGTTATTCCTCGTTTCCTGTTCTTTCTTTCGCTCCCACACTTTATTTATTGAACGCCATGGAGATGATCACTGTACCGCTTCACTACTGAGCACCAGGTTTTAGACTCAATAGCATGGACTGGCGAATGTATTGCGATGTTGGTGAAGTCGTTGAAATGGCTCGTTATAGACGTTATGCGAAATCGCTGCCATCTGTCGGCCGTCGTGTGTATGCCGCCATGTTGGAAGCTTAGCGCGGCACAGTGCGCCCAGTCCGCGTGTGTTTATATATACTTATACGTAAGGTGTATTGACGTGAGGTTTGCGTTGGCTCATAATCGCGATGCCGACGTTTTGCTGTGTCCCTTGCTGCACACATAAAGGAACTCGAAATCGTGGAGGAAAAAAGGTAACACTGCCCTTTGTCATTTTTTCAATCATATGGCGTTTCCAGCATGTGGTTCAGCTACTGCTTCCGAAACACGTGTTCGCGCTCTTTTTTACAAGCAAGACGTGAAATATCATTTGTATTCATGTTCCTACTCATTGCTGCAAGCCGAAGCAAGGCAGTGTTTCCAAAATTTACGCTAGCAGCCGTTCAATAAGTGAAGGCAACTTGTACGCTGCACGCTGAAGCCACCTTCACGCAATAAACTTTATATCAGCTAATTGCGCGTCCCCACATTTTGTTGAATGTGTTTTGTTTATTACGTGTGGGTAACGGCACACGCTAAATTAGAAGCATGTGCGCGTCATCGGTTCATTCTGAGAAGGGTGAGACATGGTGCTAAAGCATTTTTGTTTTATGTTGTTTCGCTTTCCGTTCAGCGTTTTTTACAAGCTGCCGTTAAGCGGGATGACTGCGCACGTTTTTCAAGCATTCGATGTGCTCGGCACATTCAACGAAATGCAGGAACGTGCAATTAGACGCGATGAAGCTCGTTGCACGAAGGCGGCTTCGGCGTAAAGCGTACGAGTCACCTTCACTTGGTAAACGGCTGCTAGCGAAAACGTTGCAAGAACTGCCTTGATTCGACGTGCAGGAATTCGTGGGAACATGAATGCGAATGCGGTTGCACTTCTTATTTGCTTGGAAAGGCGAATACAGAGACGTCTTTCGGGAGCAGTAGCCGGAGCACATTCTGGAAACGTCAACTGGGAAAAAATAAGAAGCAAAGTTTACGGCTTGCCTTCTTCATTTAAGCATTTCGAGTTCCTCTTGGTGTGCTGCAAGGGACACAGCATTACGTCGGCATTGCGATTATCAGCCAATACGTGTGTTACGCTGATACGTCGTACGTAAAAGTGTACGTAAATTCACACGTGGACTGTGCGTACTGCGCTGCGCTGAGCCTCTAATATGGCGGTATGCACACGACGGCCGACAGATGGCAGCAATTTTGCATAAGGTCCACAGATAACAATAAATTAGAACATCAAAAAGAGAACCACCTGTAAAGCGTGCTTTGTCTGCTATACAATCCTGTATGTTGGCAAAACAAACATTCAATAGCATAGCTGTTTAGGTTGGAGGGAGGAGGTTATGCGCCACTGAAAGCGGTAATGTGTTAAGCAACTGCTAGCGTAGTCATGCATACTATAGTAAAGGCAGAGGGTGGCAATAGTAAGCGAGGGTGAGGAGAAAGAAAGCGACAAGGTGAACGAAGTATTCGCCATAAAAATCTGCTATATGTGACAATAGCATAGCGTATCATAGCATAGCATTCAAGGAGGTGGGAAAGAGTGGTGCGGATGAGTAGATACGTGAAGGTGAGGATGAAATAAAAAAAGATAGTAAAGTGTAAAGCGTGGTATCTGTATGGGAGAGCAGCGCTAGATAGGTAGCGCACCGTAAAAGGGCGCCTGGCGGGCATTCCCGACGTTAAATTCGGCCGCTCACACATACGACTGGCCGCAGCGCACCGCGGTTAGCGAGAGCGTTGTCTTCGTGCTTGTCTTTGGAACAAATAGCTCGAGTAGCCACTGCGCTTGTAATACCAGTAAGGCTTGGAAAAAGTAAATTTGTCTGAAGGCTATCTATTTTTCAGAAGACACCACCAGAAAATGAAGAGAAGCTCTGCAAAGCGTACTGCGTCTACGTATATGACGACTAAGAGACGTTTTTGTGCCTCGATGGCTACTCCCTCGCCAAAATTTTCTGGTTGCGTGCTGGGGTTTGTGTCAAGCTAGTGTAGGCTGATCAGCCTACATTTACACATTCAGGCTGGCCACTTCTACAGTAAAAAAAAGGTAAAAAAAGGGGTGGGGGCGAGGGGCAAAGGGAAACTGCGGTAATTTGTTTCCGCCTAGGATTTGGCAGTTGGCATTATGTATGCACGCGTTTGACAAAACATACCATTCATATTAGTATGTCATGGATGGTGTCGCGCTGCTAAGGTCGAGGGTGCTGCATGAATTCCCTATGGGGGCGCAACACAAAGAGAACCCGTGGACTTAAATTCATGTGAACATTAGGAACGCCAAAGGTCAAAATTATTAACCCAGAGTTCCACACTATAATCATAATCATACAATGTTTTGCACGTAAAACGTCAGCAGTTATTGATGTTGATCAAACACCCCAATTATAAGTTGATTGTAAGCAGATTCACGCAAGTATAAAAACTGAC